GTAAACCGCATTGAGTCGCCTGTCTGGGCTGAAATATGCGGTATAGAAATAAAGCAAATAAATAAATAAATAGGCTGGAACTGTGCCTTGCTATTAACTTACTCATTTAGTTATTATCCCCCTGACCATTTTTATGTGCCAAGAAAAGAGGAAGTTCTCCAAGTACCATGTTCACACACTCAGTGTTTACAATGTATGTTGTAACACAGGCTAAGAAGATGGCAAAGTTACATTCAACAAACCTGTATAAAATACAATATCTAAGTGAGTCTATGTGAGTGATTTTTTTTTGCAAAGTGTTATGCAAATTTTAAACCTTTGATCTCTGAAGACACTTCCAATTGATGACTCTGTGAAAGCTTATGGTTTCTTTACCTCTGTCATTGCCATGTAGTAGAGCTTCCATTTGCCTCCAGCTTTGGTCAGACTGGCTCCAAGATTTTAATCCACTGACACTATAGTCTCTACCACTCATTTTATCACCATCATCTCCCTAGTAAATTGAAAAGCTGGGTTGACATTACTCCACATAAGTGGATGCACAAGATCAGTAATATCTACTGGCTTAGTTTTTCACTAAATTAGCACTCAGAAGCAGTATTTTTAACCTAGGTGCCAATATCGCAGGGCCATATGTTTTGGGACAACCAACATTGTATGGTTGTCAACTGGCAATGCAACTGTGTCCCCATAAGTATCTCACTCTGCTTTTGCATTTCCCATGGTTGCTCACTGGCTTACTGTTTCACCGCCCATGAAGCACATCCTTACTTATAGACCTCATAGGCCAGGTCTTAAAAATACAGATTTCAGGTTTATGAGCTTCTTTCCATCTCTGACCAGGGATAGCAAGTCTCACCCTTTCATCACTCCCAGAGGGGCACCCCCATTGGCAGCAGCACAACCAGTGTTCAACTCATCTATTTTCCTCCTACTCCAATGATTGCCCAAAAATCAGGGCAGGAGATTGATAGTATAGCACCACCCAAATGCCTGGTCCTACAAGTAGATGGAGGTCCATGAGCAGAAGTTCTTAGTGGGGAGAACAGAGGCAGAAGCAAATAGGCAGAAATGGGGTTGTACCTTTGGTTGTGATGCAAGGGTGAGACTTGCTATCCTTGGTCTGAGAGGGAAAGAAGCAACATATCCTCATACTCTATGCTGGGCAGTGTCCTTGTTTTCCTCAGGATACTGGTATATCTTGTATTTTCTCAAGTGAAAGTCATATTTACACAATACATACAGCCTCTTTTGAAAGTCTATGGCTTCTATTTTGTTATGCCGATACATAATGATTTTTTGATTAATTTTGGGAAGCATCAAAATTATATTTTATAGATACCCTTTAATGCATAGAAAAACCTCCACTGGAATTGTTTCCACAAGCTAGTGGGGGAAGAATTGATATTGAAACATGTAATCTGCAGATGTCAACTACAAAGGATTGCCATTTCGTCTTGTATTCACCTAGATATTGATATATTTATGATTTATTTAAATTTACGAATAGCCAAGGCAAATATTAAAATGAAATGTAAAACTCATGAAGATGTATTTGAATGCTTCAAATCTGTTGCTTTAAAATCATTGCTGTATGCTTACACATTATACCACAATCTAGTGATGGAAAATATTATATCACCCAGTGGGTTGTTATAAAGATTGTTTATGAAGTTGAGCCTAAGACTTAAAATACATTGAACTGGGGAGTTCTGAAAAATGAACTGTATGACATGGGAGACCAAATCATGCTAAAGTGCAGGGAAAGACTATACATCAGTTCAAAGGCTACATTATTCAAAAAAATACAACCATAAAAAAGGTAATAAGATTACATTCTCACACTTCATGGCTAGTAAGGTGCATTAGGCTGCTCAGATATTCATAACTTACTGTGACATTTCCCGAGATTACATTTTGCTGTGCACAGCCATTACTGCAGCTCAGATAATAACTAGCCTGTGTATAGGCCTGGATTATGTGATCCCTGTCTTTGGCAGCAAATTTGTGTCTTGAAGGTTGATCAGCTTCAAATTGCCATTAGAAAGGGTTAATATGACATACTGTAGAGGTGTGCACTTATGTGCATCTATAATATGTTTGCATATTAACCGTAGATCAAATTCAGTACAAATTACATGTAAGCGTTTCCCATATTTTCTTAAAGTAATTTAATAAAACACTTAAACGAGAGATATTTAAGACTTGTATCTGGTATTGGATCCTAAGATTGTGCTACTTCTAATGGCTAGTGAATTATTTGTGTTTTGCAGATTAGATAGGAAAACTAATTTGTCAACTTCTTGGATGGGTGGTTACTGACAATGGTACTTGTAGCCAAAAGTGAAAGATGGGTGGTGGAGAATTGAGGTGAAGGTAAGGTCACTTTAGTTAACAGCAAAATGTATGGTCTATAAAGTGTTGGCATGGGAGTTGATGGTCAGAACCAATACATTAATTCATAGAAATTAACTTTAAGAAGCCACTGAGCCCGATTTTTTCCGTAATAATTTTTCACTACCACAAATGTTGATTAATTCAATTAATTCCAGTACTGATCATATGCTTGAATTCATTAGCTTTGTAGGCATACAAGTGTGACCCCTGTGTCCATGGGGGATACATTCCTAGATTTCACGTGGCGGCGATAAACTGCGTGTAATAGCTAACACTATAGAAATGAAGGACTCATGGCCCAAGAACATGTCTAGAGAGGACATTTTTGTCAGACACAGATAAATGAAACTGGTCCTGCGGGTGTTGGTGCCATAGAATACATTCTTTCTTGTATTGTTTCATATAATAGTTTTAGGTTCTGGTACTTGCTTACAAAACACTAAATAACTACACCTGGTTGTTTCACAGGTTGTCTGAACTCTAACCTGTGCTCATCAGACTGGCCTTTGGTGTCTAAGATATTGGCTGTCTGGCTAGTAGTGACTAAGAATAGGACTTTTAGTGTCAGTACATACTTTTTCAAATTCCATAGCGGTAAATGTTAGGTACTGTATATTACATACTTTTGGATTTCTGGGTGTCTATTTCAGACTTACTGTAGTTCTTCAAAAAGCTGTCTTTCTACTGTAGTTTTGTTTTGTAGACCTTCCAAATCGATTATATGGTAAACCATTTACAAGTAGCATTATTATTATGATGTTGTCAAAGGCTTTCATGGCCGGAATGACTGGGTTGCTATAAGTTTTTCGGACTGTATGACTATGTTCTAGTAGCATTCTCTCTTGATGTTTCACCTACATCTGTGGCAAGCGTCTTCAGAGGCTTGTTCAGAGGTCTGTTGCAAATGAGGCAAGATGTGTGTGTGTGTGTGTGTGTGTGTGTATCTGGAATGTCCAGGGTTGGAGAAAGAACTCTTGTCTGTAGCAAGAATGACTGTTTCAATTAGCCAGCTTGATTACATTGAGTAGCCTTTCAGCTGCAAAGCCTGGTTGTTGCTGCCTGGGGGCATCCTTTGTTTGGATCCTTTGTTTGAATCAAGAGAGTAAGTAAAGAACACCACTCAGAAACAAGGAAATTCCAGATAACAAACAATCAAGTGCCAGACAAAGGATGCCCCCAGGTACTGCAATATGAGGAAGCAAACACAATCCTTTGAGATGCTAAGATTTTTCTTCCATTGATTTGCATCCACAAATGCACAAATACTGAAGAAAGGTATATCTAATGTAACTTGTTTCCTGTTCCATTCTTTTTTATATCAGTGAGATTGTAAAGATTGAGAGAAATGCTTGTTTATTCATTTTAATTACCTGTGTATTGTCTTTATCAATCCAAGATACATTTTACTATAGCTTCCTAATCTTGAGATGTTTGACATCATTGCTGATTTATGCTGAAAATAGTGAAAAATGTGTTTCCCAACTTATATATCTTTCCAACACTTCAAACCCTGAGCAATGAGTAGTAACTGCTGGGATTCAGGGAAGAGCAAAGAAGAGTAACTGCCGTCGGTAAATCTCATGTCAGAATGAATATGTTTTAATATTTAAAAAATCCTACCTGATTAGTTTCCCTTTTGTTAGAGATCATCATCATGAACTTTGTATGTAGTATAGTCCTTACTGTGATGACCGTTGTTAGAAGTCCTGACAGGTGGTATTACAGACTGGGAGCTATGGGCCACAATTTGTGCTCATCGATGAGTTACTCTTTTAAGGAGTGTAGTTAAGTAAGTACCTTATCACATTAAGCTCCTGATTTGCCATGGGTCGTGGTGAATATGACAGTGGACATGGGGAACCCATCACCCCACATCGCCAGTCTTCCCCCTCACCTCATCTCACAGGGGGAAGTGTCACCACACAGCTTCCCCGCATTGTTTTCCATGCAAAATGGGAAACCTCCCATGCTGCTGCTGCCTGGGCCAGTTTCATTCCGCTTCAGACACAGAGCCATGCCAGAAGTCAATCAGTGTTGTGTGATGGGAGCCGGTGGGCTCAGTGCCTGAAGAGGGGTGAAATTGGCATAGGATGGGCAATTTTGCCTGCTTGATGAGGTGGTAAATGAAATGTATCAGCATTAGGGCATGGACTAGAAACAGTAGAAGTAGTAGAAAGAAGAGGAAATAATCTAATTTATCAAATTTTAGATGTGATTCTTCTTTATGATATCTGGATATTAAATCCTGTGGGGTGTGCACATGCATAGAGGTTGCTAGATTTGCAGAGTCAGAATTACCTGGTTCAGAAAGCAGCATGTCTTTCTCAAACTATGCTGTACTTAAGAAGATATCTTTTTGTATAAAGATATATAGAACTGTATCATCAGTCTCATGGTCTGTAAATTATGCCTAATATAAAATTTATAATTCATCAACTTTGTTCAGATCCAAATTTTCTTACCATATAGCACCAAGAAAGAAATGGTTACTAAATATTGCACACTTAGAAAAAGAATTCTGAAAACATAAAAAATACTGACATTGGTCTCTTTTTTTTTAATTGAAGCTTGTAGGAGGTCACTTTGATCTGGAAATGAATTTTATTATACAAGAAGGCGAGAGTATTACTTGCATGGTGGACTTGTTGGATAAGTGTGATGTCACTTGCCAAGCTGAGGTGTGGAGCATGTTCACGGCCATCCTGAAGAAAAGTATACGAAATCTGCAGATTTGTACAGAAGTGGGTCTTGTTGAGCACGTGCTTGAGAGAATTGATAAAGCCGACAATATGATTGCAGGTATGATTTCTTGAAAGGTCTTTGAATAGCAAGTATCTGTGATTTTGCTTAAACAGAATTTTTGCATCATACATTTATACTTTTTATTGGTGTAATAAAATGTTATTGTTATTAATCTAAATGTTAATAACTTATTTCCCTTAGACTTGCTAGTTGACATGCTTGGAGTGTTAGCAAGCTACAGTGTGACAGTTCGAGAGTTGAAGCTGTATTTCAGTAGACTTCAAGGAGACAAAGGAAAATGGGTAAGTAGGATTCTCCATGAGCAAAAAGCAAAGGTTTTGATTTTATTTAACAAGATTTAATTGAATCTTCATACAAATGTCCATGTAGAGGCCAAGGCAGTTGGTGTGGCAGGAGGGAGTTTTCTTTTCTATTCCATTGCTGCCAACAATAAATATATATATGTGGACACCAGGACAGTAGTGGATGAGTAAAATGGTAGTGTGGGTAGCCTAACAGTGGCTGAGCAAATTAATTATCATTTGTCCATGTATGTTTGAGTGAGGCTTGTAATGCTGGTAAGAGGCTTGACTTTTAAAATGTTTTTGCCTGAGGCACTTTAAATTGTGTAAACCAATACAATAAATTGAATTATTTCTTGAATATCTTCAGCCGTCTTCCTCTGAGGTAAATCTTCTCTTCAATAACTGAACACAAGTCTTTATGATAATAAACTGAACACGGAAATATTTATTCAAGGATTCTCAGGCATATAAAGCTTAATGGTTACTCAGTATTCCTTAGATATTGTTACAACTGACTTCTGCTATCACAGACACTTGAAACAGTTTCCAATATAACTCCCAGAATGGCTTACCCTTTTACCAGATTGGCTTGAACTTATTTCACTTCAAAATATTATTTCTTTTCAGTCTCCTTGTAGGGGCAAAGAAACCAAAATATTTCCCAAAAAGCAGGAGCCCCTTTCCAATCGGGAGGGCAAGGAAGGACACCACAAAAGTTGAATCTTTTAAACTGCAAAAAGCTATTTATTGTGTGGCCTTAGCAATAACGACAAACAAGCATACAGGAATGCAATCAAAGGGTTTGTCACAACCCCCAATGGGGCTGCAGAGCTTTTATCATTTTGGTAGTAAATGGAACATACATTTTCATTGGTTCCCAAAGACAAATCATTTCATTGATCTAAGCTAGTTATACAGTTGTTTATGATTTTGATTGACATAATAGCACACGTGGGATCCTAACAATGACACAACTATGGCACAACTGTAGTCTATTGTTCTCTGACCATGACTTTATCTTATCTGTTAGTGTGTTGCAAACATGACTTCAGAGCGACGGGGAAACTTGGGGGTTCTAACTAGCCAACAGCTAGCTGGTTTTGTCCAGATGTACTGTTATCCTTGAGCACTGATTTCTCAAACAATCAGCATTTTCTGTAAACATAGGCCTACTGCAGAAATAGGCCAATATGGCAGTAAATCAGGACATATAGGCATTGGGAACATCTCTAAAAATTCCCTTTTTGAAACCATGTCCCCTCTATCCTGACTGACATTTAAGGCACTGGCTTGGCTTTTACTCTCTTCAGCTATCCCACTGAAGTTACAGAGTACCACTGGGGTACCTTTTCCCTTAGCTTAACAGCTATTTACTAATTCAAACAGGTTTAGTTGACACTCTAAATAACCAGGCTGAAGACTAAAATCCCTTGGTCCAGCTCTAAACTAGCCAGAACCAACCTTCTCTTTGGCTCACTGGTCAAAGACTACTTTAAAACGTCTGCTCCACTCCAGTTGACAGTTAGCTCCACCCCCTTTGGCTCTGTTCTGGATGGATACATTTCTATTGCAAACTGCATTGCTATGGCAACACAGCCAACAAGCAGCTACAGTTTAAACTGGCCTGCTTGCCATATATATTTTTAATAAACATTTATAAAAACTCATATTATAATTAAACAATTTGTTACAGTTCGGTATGACTACATTATCTGTGGGTGATACAGTCCTGCAGTTATTATGGAAAAAAGGAAATGGTAAATAATACCAAACCCTATTGAAATGAACAGCTTCTGCCAGAAGTTACCATGGGATTGCCCTGGAGGAGCTAAAAAATTCCTATAGAGGCATCCTATCTAGGAATTTGCTAGTTCCTCCAGTGTGATTCTATAATAATTTCAAAAAGAAGCATACCATAGAATAGTCTGGAAGACCTAGACAATGCCATGAACTTGTATATTTTTGGAGGCGGGGAGAGGAGACCGTGAATACCTCCCGTGGGTCATATTATATATATTGTTTATATAGCTAATAGAAAAAAATACATAGAAGGAATATGTATTTTCAGTATTTTCAGCATAAATCAGCAATGAATATTATCACCTAGTGATAATAAATTAATGTAAATTTACCTGCATTGATCTTCTTATGTACTACAGGAAATATTAATATTTTGTTATTATGATAATTTTTTAAATGTTAATAATTTTTTTATTTTTTGTTTTAATGTACATGTTTGTTTTCTATTGTCTGTTGATATTGCATAGAATTGCTGCCGATTGTAAGGTTGCTCTGAATCCCCTTTGGGGTTGAGAAGGACAGGATATAAATACAATAAATAAATAAATAAATACAGCAAATAAATAAATAAATGCAATAACATCGTGGTAGTAGTAGACCTCATCTATACTGTCAATAAATCTATGTGTGATCATTTATGTTCAGTAGTATGATTGTAATAAAAATGCTAAAGACCAAGTATTTTATATTGAAATATACAACTGAATTTCATGTAAAATTATTCTTTGAATAGCCACCACATGCGGGAAAGCTGTTGTCTGTATTAAAACATATGCCTCAGAAATATGGACCTGATGCCTTCTTCAATTTTCCAGGAAAAAGTGCTGCGGTAAGTCCCTTTTTTCTGTTTTTATTCCATTTGCATTAAAGTTTGTCTGTTAATAATTGCCTAATTAAATGATCATCAGATGCTCTTCCTCATCTTAATAAACCCTTGATATTGAAAATTTGATGGTAATATTCAAGCCGTGGGTAAAAATATATTGTTATACATTAGGAGTTTGTACCTTCTAAGAAAACAGAGCCATTTGTTAAAGAGAATTTACAAAAATATACTGACTTGCCAATGGTATTATAACTCCCATCTAAACATCAGGGAGAATGTTCTCGTGGTATGCGCTGTCAGAAGTAGAATAGACTGCCTTGGAGTAGAGTGCCTTCTTTTGAGATCTTTAAACAACAGTTGGATGACTAACGTGTTGGTGAAGGCTTTCGTGGCTGGAATCACTGGGTTGCTGCGAGCTTTCTGGGCTGTATGGCCATGTTCCAGAAGAAATGTTTCACCCACATCTATGGCAGGCATCCTCAGAGGTTGAGAGGTCTGTTGGAAACTAGGCAAGTGAGGTTTATATATCTGTGGAAAGTCCAGGGTGGGAGGAAGAATTCTTGTCTGCTTGAGGCAAGTGTGAATGTTGCAAATGTTGGAAGAGTTCTTTCTTCCACCCTGGACATTCCACAGATATATAAACCTCACTTGCCTAGTTTCCAAAAGACCCCTCAACCTCTGAGGATGCCTGCCATAGATGTGGGTGAAATATCAGTAGAAAATGCTTTTGAAACATGGCCCTACAGCCTGGAAAGCTCACAGCAACCCACTTGGATGACCATCTCTCTGGGGTTGTACTTGATGGCACCTGCATTCACTTCTTCTCCTCTGTTTTTATGATGTTCCTATAGTTTCCTTTAGAAAGGCAGATGTGGGACTGTTTACTTTTGAGAAAAAGAGCACTGCGTGGTATTTGTATTTCCATCCATTTCTTTGAATGGATAGCATAGTTTCTGTTCTGTTTTCTTTTAAGCAAGGTATTGTGTTAACTGACATACAGTACTCTTTTAACTAGAACAAGCATTTTAGTGTTTGCTCAATATTTAAATAGCTACAATATTGAAATGTTTCCTATTAAGGATGAGATATTAAGGAATAATGCCCGTTGAAAATTTATTGCACTTAACATTCTCCCAGGAATGCTCTGTTCAGAGATACAAGCTGATTACTGATAGATCCTCTCTGGAAGGATTTATGGCATGGTGCATAGATAGGGATAGCTGCAGAGTTTAGTAATGTAATGAGAAGTATGCTGACACTCAAGTTCTTTGATGTTTTTGTTCATTGCTATTGATCATCTGGACAGTGTCTTTCACTTCAGGATTACAGAAGTCCCAGTAGAGATTTATGCTGTAAGTCTGAAGAGCAACGGTGGGGAGGAAATTGTTTGCTATGCAGTATTGTATATTTGAACAGAGAACAAATACCCATAAAGATCTGATTATCACTATAAAATTTTTATTTAATTTTAAAAGCTTCTTAGTAGCAATATTTCTTTCAAAACACACTCCTCTTTAAATATGAGTATGGGCTTCCCCTACCTTTCAATATTGACAATTTGCTGTTTCAACACTTGCAAAATACAGGCAAGTTCCATTAATTCAGCATGAGGTCTACTCTTTTGTCTGGATTTCTTGCCTATGAGGGTTGCTTGAGGACCACTTGTACATGTACATGCACAATCCCAAGGCTTGCCTATGGAAAGCGTGGACCCTTCCTTGAATTATTGGAACTTGTGATGGAACTGTATAAGTCCCAGTTCCTTTTGTTAGGCTGCCTTATCCACAGTTTGAAAATAGTAACTTTTCTGTTAGTTTTATGAAAGTAGAACTTAAGAAAACCTTTCCTAGTTTGAATAGATAAGTTTGCCCACCCTTTGCCCGGGAAGTGGAGCCATCTTTAGTTTAGGGTTATTACCACCAGGGAATCTTGGAAGCAAGATGTGTGTGCAGTTGGTCCCAGTTAGATCCAGGCTTGGACAAGTCATTTCAAGACAATAGCTAACTAACGAATCCGGGAACTCATCCTATCTTTGGTCAGTGACAGTCTGTGGCATTTTCAGCACCTTCAGCAAGGTGCCAGGCCTCAATAGGTGGGACTTGCTCTGGCCTGATCATCTTGGGCATTGGGTACCCCAGAGGCCCCTCTACCAGAGCAAGGCAAACTTTGTCCTTCGTCTCCAGAATCATCAAAGACCAGCAACATCAAGAACAACCAGTTGTCTTCAGACTTTAAGTATGGACTTGTGGGGAAATCAAGATAGTGCCTGGGTAGCCCAAGACTAATTAATAAATCGTTACCCATTCTTAAAAGCAATCGTGTGGACATTGATTTTATGGGATTCCTTGCTCAAACAGGAAGGCAATCCAGCATCACCCAACTTGATAGAAAGTCAGGACACGTTAATGCTAAAGACAATTAAAGAAGCTTGGGTGCGACAACACGGAACTTGCCTATGTATTTTGCAAGCGGGGGCATATTTTTTTCCTTACTAAGACCATATGTATGTGTGTACACTGTATATGTGTCTTCAAGTTGTATGTTGACTTATGGGGACTCCGTGACTTTCATAGGTTTTTCTTAATCAAGAAGCTTACAGCCCCTGGTATTCCTCCAAACAAATCATTGCTGAACCTTCTTTCAATTAAAGAAATGGCAACGCTGTGTACTGTAGGTTTACTTCTTTGTATATACTGCAAGGCGAGTACATCTAGGTAGCAAAAGCACCCCATTGTATTTAGCATTCATTAGGAGTAATGAAAGTTAAGGTCTGTCTGTGAAACAGAAATAAACAGAAATTTCCAAAAAGTTTAAGACAAAAGAAGACTTTCGTTTTTGATAACTTCCATTTTAGTAGAGTTTAGATATATTCAGTATTGGATATCATAAGTATGATCATGTCTACATTGCTTTTACAGGCTCCCTCATTATGACTTCAGTATGAAAGCAAATTTCAATATCCATTCCATTTACTTTAAAAATATAAATTCTTGACTCCATCCCTTTCTGTATTCCAAGTCCCTTGTTTTATGGTGATCAATTGCTTTATATTAACTTCTTTTTTCTAGGCAATTGCCTTACCTCCTATAGCCAAGTGGCCCTATCAGAATGGATTTACTTTTCATACCTGGTTAAGAATGGACCCTGTAAATAATATCAACGTAGATAAGGATAAGCCTTACTTATATTGGTATGTATATATTATTTTATATCTTCTGAAATGAGTTTCTCTAGGTCTGCTTTTAAAGATGACGTTCACCAATTTATTGCATATTTGCACTTATAGCTTATTTATTTACTTACTACATTTATATCCCACCCTTCTCACCCCGTAGGGGACTCAGAGTGGCCTTACAAAAAAGCGGAAATTTTATGCCATAACATACATACAGTAAAATAAACACACATTAAAAACAGAATTAAAACATCAATATTAAAACCAGTTATTAAAATCACATGATCCAAAATCAAATCTAAGGCCATTCCATTAGTTATTTCACTATTCCATATTCTCGTATTGCACTAACTTGCTAGCCAAAAGCTTACTCCCATAACCATGTTTTTACTTTGTTCCTGAAGGTCAGGAGGAAGGAGGCTGCTAGGGAGGGAGTTCCACAGGTGAGGGGCCACCACTGAGGAGGCCCTGTGTCTTGTCCCCACCAGTTGTGCCTGTAAGGGAGGTAGAATCAAGAGCAGGACCTCCTCGGATGATCTTAACCTCCAAGATGATTTATAGAGGAAGATACATAAGTTGGACCAGAACTGTTTAGGGCTTTATAGGCCAAAGCCAGCACTTTGAATTGTGCTCAGTAGCAGACTGGCAGCCTGGCATATTTAAACTGTAGTTCATTTTTTTGTGAATAATAAGCTGTATTATATATAATAATTCCATGTGAATAAGTGCTAAATCTTATCATTTAAATATCTTGCTGCAGTTTTCGAACAAGCAAAGGACTTGGTTATTCTGCACATTTTGTTGGAGGCTGTTTAGTTGTGACCTCAATTAAATCAAAAGGGAAAGGCTTCCAGCACTGTGTAAAATTTGATTTCAAGCCCCAAAAGGTGAGTTTTGCATTCAAATTACTTGAATTTTATAATTTTACAAAAGTACAGATAATTTACTATTTGCTTTTAATTAGTTTGGTTCTTTTTTCTACCATTGAATGAATAATTTGCTATCATAACCTACGCAATCTGAAATTATATTCTTTTAAAACAAGAAGAGACAACCTTTTTGTCTCTTCTTGTTTTACCTATGGACAATCTCCTCATCAAATATATGCAATGGGCACAAGCACTTTCAGCACCAGCTTAAACAATTTTTTCTTTATCAAAGAATAGAAATTGTGACTCCCATTAACTGTTTTTGCTTCTACTTTGTTAGCATTTTACTGTTTAATTATATTGTATTGTTTAGGCTATGGTTATATATGTATAATTACTTTAATATATTGAGTAATAAACAACTTGTAGTAAAGAATAGAAAGTGTTTTAAACCCAGCAAGATATTCCTTAAGTTACACTTGTCATGTTACCTTTTCCCCAGTGAGTTTACTTTCTATAACATTATTTCAGTAATTCTCTAAATCAGTGATGGTTCAGTTTAGAATACCGAGCTTTCCTTCTAAGTTGATATAATGAGATTGTTCAAGTTAAAGACCAGATGATCTCATAGTAAATGTCAAACATCACTTTAGACCAGGCATGTAGACTGATTAATATATTATGTGTTCTAATTTAAGAAAGTTACACTATAGATGTAGTCTAACCCATCTGCCTTTCTTCTGTAGTGGTACATGGTTACCATAGTGCATATCTACAACCGATGGAAGAACAGTGAGCTCAGATGTTATGTGAATGGAGAACTGGCATCTTATGGGGAGATAACATGGTTTGTCAATACTAGTGATGTAAGTATTTATCAGTACTTATGATATAAGCAAGTAACTATGACAGATAGATCAAACTATTGTATTACTGCATCTTTTCCCCTCTTGTTGCTTTTGATGGAGTAGAAATAAATGAGCAGGAATTGGGGGAAAACTCTTAATCATTTTGCACCCCTTATAGAGTTCTTGGAGGGCTGTCCGCCCTGAAAAATATTTGGAAGTATTTCTTTGCCACAAAATGTCGCTGTGTGGTGGTCTCTCCCTGAGACATTTTAGGCCAGTGGTTCTCAACCTGTGGATCCTCAGATGTTTTTGGCCTTCAACTCCCAGAAATCCTGACAGCTGGTAAACTGGGATTTCTTGGAGTTGTAGGTCAAAACACCTGGGAACCCACAGGTTGAGAACCACTGTTTTAGGCTGATAAGACACCTTCTTTCTATCACGAAGAGAAAGAAGTTACATTCATGGCCATTTCCTGGAGGAAAAAAGTGTTTTCTTTGTCTAAAATGGGTGATTAAAATGATGTAATTGCTGAGGTCAACAATATTTTTTCAGTTTTCTCTTAAGTTGGCAGTCGTGAGGATAACAAAAATGGTCCTGGCCCTGCATGAGGTCAGTTACCTGCACTTTCCTCATTCCTACTCTAAATGGACACAGATTCTGTCACTATACTTTTATTTAAATAGGCTTTTTTCCTCAGTGTTTTAGTAGTGACTTCATTAATAATAAAATAATAATAATAACATTTTATTTCTAACCTGTACCTCTTTCCCCGAAGGGACTCAGGGTGGCTTCCAATTATAAATGAAAACATGGCAAACACGACTTTGGCTGAAAGGTTATCAATCAGTCAGTCAGTCAGTCAGGCATCATTGATTGTACTGAACAGTTAAAATCTGTATTAAAATATGCCTCTTCAATAAAATTAACTTAGTCAACTTGGTCCACTAAGATGGCAACAGTGCTATTATTCATTCTCTTCTCCATAAGCCAATGAACAAATGTAGGCTTTTAGTTCTTTCTTGAGGAGAGGAGTGAGGGAGCTGTTCTGATTTCTTCAGGGAGGAAGTTCCAGAAGGAAGAACACTTCTGAAATTCTGCTGAATATAGAGTGTTCGCTTACTTATTACAGGAGTTCTGTTCCATGACCACCCGCAATAAGTGAAAATCCACGAAGTAGGGATGCCCTATTAATTTTAATATTTATACATTATTTTATATATTATTTTCTTACCTGTGCTTCCTTACCCATCTCTCGGCCCATCTCAAGGGTGCCTGCCTGCGTCCCTGGCCTCCACAGACCCCTGTAGAGCCTCCGGAGCCACGCAGGCAGCAGCAGGCCAGAGAGGCAGGTCTTCCCCACCATGCCTCAGGCCACTGCAGGCCGGGGTTCCTGGCCTCCGCCAGACGTAAATATTTTATATTTTATATTAACATTTTCAAAAACTCGCAAAACAGCGAGTCCGCTAAAAGCGAACCTCAAAGTAGCGAGGGAACACTATGAAGAAGGCCCCTTCTCTCGTTCCCATCAGCTTGAGACGGAGGTAGGATTGAGAGGAGGGCCCCCTCCGATAATCGCAGAGTCGGTGCCGTTTATAAATAGGGATATGGGATGTTAAATAGCCTGGGTCCAAACCATTTTACACATGCTGACACTGTGTAAAAATATACATCCTCATATAGTTAGAGTTAATGTATAATAGGGTGGTTCTAGCATATGAAATGAAAATTAACTAGTGTGTGTTTAACTGATATCAGGTCTTTGCTACACCTGTGTAACATTTTGACTACAGTCTTGGTATTATTATAGAAATCACTGTGTATACCTTAAGAAACCCTTCTAAAATTTTCACTTTGGTGCAATTTTATGTGGATATTGCTGCTAATTATGTGTAAAATTCTCTATTTTCTAATGTGTACATTACACATATCTATGTACACATACATATTATGTTCACATACATGTTTTTCACATTTATTTCAAGCATTTGTTTGCTCATATCAAGCATTTTCTTTAATTTCCCCAATATATAAATTTTTCTTTTGGACAATGCAAGGACAGGTTTCAGTGCAGATGCTCATTGTTGTTTTCGGAGGTATGAATTTGGTAGCTTTGTATCAAAATTCTACCTGTATGGATTTCTTTCCCATCTCTAGTGTAAGTGCATATTTATGCAGCCAAGCCACTAGCTTAATTATCCAAGTACAAATTGCTCTAAATAGCAATGGCTCCCCAAAACCTCACATAACAATCTTGCACAACCCTACTTCTTTTTTAAAATTGAAATGTCAGGGATAGATACAGCAACATTGTTCCTATCATTGGGCAGATATCCTCAAAATAGAAATGGAAAACAAAAGATTGTTTTAATACAATTCTAAAATCTATTTCCTTATCCCTTCCCCATACCAGACGTTAGCTATGGATATGAAATAAACAAGAAACATGGGGCTTCCCCATTCCCATCTGCATCAGTGTTGACATGAATACCTTAGAGGCAGACAGATATTAAAATGCATTTTAATAATAATAAGAATAACAATAACAATAACTCTATTTTTGTACACAATACAATAAAAGACAATACAATAGCATATTAAAGAATAATTTAAGCTCAAAAGAGTGCCCAATAACCTATGGCTACAAAATTAAACATTAAACATTAGGTTGCAATTATACACACACACACACACACACACACACACACACACAATATTCTAAAGATTATGTTGTTAACACTAGCTGGATTTTTATTGTCATTTACTTGAATATTCTGTATTTTTTCTTAGACATTTGACAAATGTTTCCTGGGCTCTTCAGAAACAGCAGATGCCAACAGAGTTTTTTGTGGCCAGATGACAGCTGTTTATCTTTTCAGTGAAGCTCTCAATGCTGCTCAGATTTTTGCTATTTATCAACTTGGTTTGGGATACAAGGTATTTCTTGTCTCTTTATTAAGATATTTCTGGATCAGAATGGAACTAACGAACATGTAACTGAGCTATTTCAAAAAGGTTCTAAAACGACATGCAGATTTTCAACTGTTTTTTACCGTTTTCTTGCATTGAACATCTTCAGAATATCACACTACCACTGGAAAGCATACATAAAAATAACCACGATTTTATTTTATTCAACGCCAGTATGTAACCAATAAATTTATCGTGTCTTGTGTTTACCTGCATTTATGTAGACACTGGTGTCAATGTTTTCAGCAGGAAATAATAGTTATAAAATAGAAATGGCAATCATGATTTATTTATCCTTTTTGTAATTGTACATTAATTGTTAAAAGTACATTTGTATTGAATTTGGTTTCTTAGCCATATTCTACACTGCCAAATAATCCAGGTTATCAAAACAGAAAATCCACATTATCTTGATTTGAACTGGATTATTAGTCTACAGTGCTATATAAACCAGTTCAAAGCACATAATGTGGATTATCCGCTTTGATAATGGCAGGGTAGAAGTAAAGAATCCTTTACTTGTTTTGAAAGTTTTTTGTGATAAAAAACAGTTTTTCAACTATTTGTAACTTACTGTAATTAGTGTAAATAAAAAAATAAATCATGTATTAGCATTATAAGAATGAGCCACGGTACCTCTGAGGCTCATGTACCCATTCTTACCTCTCCTATGTCATAGTGGTAAAAAGTCTTCGGTTTTGTGATCACAATCCCTGATCCCATCTAAAAAGCTCCCACACCTGGAAGGACACGGGTCTTCTGAAAGATCCAGGTCTTTCCAGAAGATGAATTGCCTTGGCACAAAGCAGGGTTTTCCTTGATTTGTGCTGAAAGCTTTAGGTTTTCCCTGAAGCATCGTCTGGAGGTCCCAGGGGAAAATGCGGGACAGCGTGCACTATAGGTGCTATCTGGATGCACCCTATGAAACTAGAGCTGATGCGGTCTGTGCAATGCAATCTTCTGAAACAGCACCTCAAACAATCCCAGGAACAGGCATAAAGACCAAGACACCAAGAAAAAAAGATATATTTTATTTTGGTTGGGCTGTGTAAGAATAATAGCAGCTATTTCAAGAAATGCATTTTGAACTTCTAAGGATAAATTGTCTGCAGGTGGTTGTTCGCATGTAAATATCTTTTCCAACCCCATTCTATCTGAGGATGTTAATTTGTATCTACAATTTGCTTCCATTGCAGGGAACTTTTAAATTCAAGGGGGAAAGTGATCTCTTCCTTGCTGACCATCACAAACAATTACTGTATGATGGCAAGCTCTCTAATGCTGTTGCCTTTACATACAACCCAAGGGCTACAGATGCACAACTCTGCTTAGAATCCTCACCTAAGGACAACCCTTCCATTTTTGTCCATTCACCACATGCCCTCATGCTACAGGTATTTTGGTGTTCCTATTTTCTGATTCAAGAGGATAGGATTTTTCTTTGCTCCTTCTCCCTTTTATCTCAGTGGTTCTTAACCTAGGGTCACCAGATATTTTTGGCCTTCAACTCCCAGAAATCCTAACAGCTAGTAAACTGGCTGGGATTTCTGGGAGTTGTAGGCCAAAAACATCTTGGGACCCCAGGTTGAGAACCACTGCTAGCTATTGTACTCTGATTTGACTAACAGAATCATAGAATCATAGAGTTGGAAGAGACCTCATGGGCCATCCAGTCCAACCCCCTGCCAAGAAGCAGGAATATTGCATTCAAAGCACCCCTGACAGCCTCTGTTTAAAAGCCTCCAAAGAAGGAGCCTCTACCACAGAGAGTTCCACTGCTGAACAGCTCTCACAGTCAGGAAGTTCTTTTTAATGTTCAGATGGAATCTCCTTTCTTGTAGTTTGAAGCCATTGTTCCATGTCCTAGTCTCCAGGGAAGCAGAAAACAAGCCATATGATTTATAACCTGCCTGCTCCATCCCTAAATACATTTGTTTTGGGGAGTTGTATGCTCTCCCTTTTTTCTGTAACTCAGATAGGCCAAATGTTTTTAATGCCAGGTAGATTTATTTTAACTGATTTTCTTTGACACTTCTTGTTAGTTACATATGTTTTTGTTCTCTTAAATTTCCTGTCTTGTCAACAAGATTACAATTTTTAAGAGATTGTCCTTGAAGCATTTGAATGCTTAGAGGTAGTCCCACAACAACAATATCCATTTATTATCTGTTCATCTCGGCCTTGACAGGATGTAAAAGCTGTGATAACCCATTCTATCCAAAGTGCAATGCATTCCATTGGAGGTGTGCAGGTGCTTTTCCCTCTGTTCGCACAGCTGGACTATAGGCAATATTCATTGGATCAACCTGACACAACTGTTTGGTAAGATTTTTTTTATTCTCATTTTAAATTCTCAGTATGTTTTGCCTGTTAGAACAAAAGAAATCACAATTCTTTAACAGAAAAATTCTTATATTTGACTTTTCTGACCAAGAAACTACTGTGACTAGGCTAAGTTGGGTTAGCCTTGACAAACCGCATCAGCTGAATAATCCACATTAAATGATTGACATGCACATCTAAATATAGCCAAGGTGAAGATGTCATGACAGCCAGTTTAGCTTTATGAAAAAAAAATTATCCCCAAATAATGCAATTATATTGCAGCATTGGGGACATTATTTATATTTTCAAGGTTAGATCATTCTAAATCTCTTGTACAGAGAAGACCTTGAGATGAAGTCAAGATTACTGCCACCAAGTCTTCTACACAAATGTGTACATCATTCAGTAGCTATATAATTTATGGAGTGAGGGGGCGGGGAATAGAAAATCTCTTTCTCAGGGATGAATTCCTTCCTGTCAAAGTGTATGTGTGGTGCGTGTGTTTTTTTTTTATAGAAATGCTAGTTATAACTAAGGAGAGCTTGTCTTCCTGGCCCAGTACATGATCAGTGAAAGATGCCTTGTATATCCAAAGTAATCCAGCTTCATTTTGCAAGTCTTGAAAAACAAAGCTAGAAGGTTTCAGGCGAATTAATGATGATGTTTTGTAGTATAAACTTTAATGGCCATTGTGGTAGCAATTTCTTATTAAGACTCTTTAAGTTCCCTTTGTGAACATAAAGAGGGGTATAAATAAATATAATAATAATAATATTAGTAATTGGTGTTGTCGCTTTCGAAAGCAATTTACAGTTTCTGCTGTTTCAATGGCAGCATGTTAAGGAAAGTACAGGAAGAGCATGGAGTATAATTTCAAATTTTTAAATAATGCCTAGTACAACCCCTCATGCTATCCTTCTTTTAATGCTGCCAATGCATGCCAGTATAAAATTTAACAAGAAAGTCAACAGGAAAGCTTTTTATGATGCTTTACTATTAGCAGTAATATTAGTTAAATCACATTTTAAATTAATTTGATTCTGTTGTTAGTTTAATACTGTTTTAATCTCAGATTTTGTGTTTTTATTGTAATTTATTGTGCTCCGTAAACTGCTTTGAGTCGCAGTCTGGGTAAAAAGCAGTGTATAAATAAAGTGATTAATGGAAAAATTGTTTCTGATTCTTCACTTCTAATGAAACATCTGAACCAAGATATGTTTTCCCCATCTCTGAGTCACTTAGGGCCATTACAGTGGTGAACCTCATTTATATGTTACAGATCAAGAATGTTTTTTGAATATATGTGGATATCTGCATTTTCTACTTTCTGTCCAGTTTGCTCTTAGATTGGGAATGAATTAACCCATAATGAGTTATCCATGATGGTAACTTAATAACCTTGATTGATAATTCACAGTCCTTCCATGAGCATTAATGACAGAGTGAATCTGAATTAATGACTTGTATATGCTCGAATATAAGCTGACCCAAATATAAGCTGAGGCACCTAATTTTACCACAAAAAACTGAGAAAACGTACTGACTTAAGTATAAGCCGAGGGTGGGAAATGCAGCAGCTACTGGTAAATTTCAAAATAAAAATAGATACCAATAAAATTACATTAATTGAGGCTTCAGTAGATTTAATATTTTGAATATTTACATAAAACTGTAATTTAAGATAAGACTCTCCAACTCTGATTAAATCATTATTCTAACCTCCTTCAATGTAAATGTGCTTACGTATCCTTCCAATAATAATAGAGTAAAATTATAAATGTAATAAAAATAATAGAGTAAAATAATGTAAATGTAATAATAGAGTAAAATTATAAATGTAATAATAACAATAAATTGAGTAAAACAATACATGTAATAATAGTAATAGAGTAAGATAATAAATGTAATAATAACAATAATAGAAGCCAAGAGTGGCCTTTTCAGCCAAAAAAGGGCGGCTTATACTTGAGTATATACAGTAGTTTAATTTTTTACTATAATACATTTCAACTGCCCTTCCCCCTTGCAGATACCAAAGTACAATGATATTTATTAGAGAAAATAAAATGATAATATTAATACAAAATCATCACTATGAAAGATAAGCTGGCATCGATCAAAACAAATAGCAAAGTTCGCACAGGTAGCCTTTCCTGGGGATTATGTTTTATAAATGGAACATACATGCAGAGAAGCTTCCTCTCCCTAAATATCATATAATGTACCTAAGTTACTTGGATCCTTCCCAATAATATCACGTTTCTAATGTAACTTAAGATTGTTGCACCAGAAGGATGAATGCAGAAGACTGTGGTTTTCTGGAGAGAAATTAGAACAGTTTGTGAAATATGTAAAATTAATTGTATTTGCTTTTAATGAGTGTTGTTAGATTTGGAAGAAGATAGTTCGGAATCTAATATTGTTCAGCTTTGCTTTTAAACATTAAATCTTGTAATACAATATCGCAATACTGTATTTTTCAGTTCCATTCTGTTGGCTTTCATCATGGAGTTGCTGAAGAACTCAATAGCTATGCAAGAACAAATGCTTTCTTGTAAGGGCTTCCTTGTCATAGGATACAGTCTTGAAAAGGTAAATGCCTTCTTCTCCCCTTCCTACTTTGATTCTGTCTGTATTTTGACTGTACTAAATGTTGCCTATATGTTGCCTTCAACACATTTTCTTCTTTCTCTACAGTCTTCCAAAGCACACATCAGCAGAGCTGTTCTAGAACTTTGCCTTGCTTTTGCTAAATATCTGAGCAATTTGCACCATGGTGTGCCCTTGCTGAAGCAGCTGTGTGATCACATTCTCCTTAACCCTGCAATATGGATTCATACTCCAGCCAAGGTAGAATGAAAAATATTTCCCATGTATATGTTAAAAAGGCTTGATGTGCAGTAGTGATCATTAATGACTGTAGGCATTTGAAGTCTGGAAAGGCTACTTTTAAGGGAATGCAGAATTCAGGCATTAATGTGCCTGAACCATGCTTAATATATGACATCTGTGAAGAGACATGATATTAATGAGTGATATATAAATGAAATGATACCCCAGCATACCACAGCTATCAAACAAGAGATATGTAGGGTGTAATCCTGTTTATGCACAAATAATATACTACAAATTTTGTTCTAAATGTTATTATATTGAAGCCTTTGGATTTGTAATTTCTTAGGACCTCATCACACAAGGTAGGGGGAGAAGGAGGTATCATTTTCTTCTTGTTGCATTACGCCCCATCACTCAATGTGTCTCTGCCAGTTTATTGTTAAGCCATTCATTTTATTCCTCCTCACACAGGCAGCTGTTGTTGCCTCCCATTCCATCATCTATGTAGTGCCTATGTAACAAGGTTTCCTCCCCTTTTCTTCTTTAAATTGCACAAATGCAGAAGAGCTTTCAAAACAGGAAATTATTAGTAAGGCAGAATTTCAAAGGTTCAAAGTTGCACAGTTACAGCAACAAAAATATTTTTAAGGAGGATATAATTATTTACCAGTCCTTTTCTGTCTCTGAATAGTAATTGCAGCAGAAAGGAGCATTGGGGGACATGAAAAGACCACCATCATGCAGGGCTAAATTGAAATGTCAGAAAATGTACTGAAAATGAGCAAACGTACAATTTCTCATCTCACAGAAAAATACCCCTTTCTAAGGATAGGGAGCTGAGTGGAACAGATTCCAATCTGTCTTTCAATTTCATCCGTTTCTATACACTAGGGAGACAGAGTGCCACAGGCAACCCATGGAATGAGTTTTACATTGTTTTATGGGATCCATGGGATTTTGACTTTGAAGTGTGTAGAAATGGAGGGCACGTTATGTGTGATGAGGTCCTCAGACTCAACTTGTTTGTGTCATTGATATTGATCCATACCTCCCTCCTTCAGAAGAAGGAGGAGGAGAAGGGAATGCGGAAGGCGAGTTCCTGTGCCCCCATCGGGCCTGGACCTGAGGTTATTGCACTTAAGAATGAACATTGAAAAATATGGGATTTCGACTTTGAAGTGTGTAGAAATGGAGGCCACGTTCTGTTTGATGAGGTCCTCAGACTCAACTTGTCTGTGTCATTGATATTGATACATACCTCCCTCCCTCAGAAGAAGGAGGAGGAGGAGGGAACGCGGGACATGAGCTCCTTCGTCCCCATCAGGCCTGGACCTGAGGTTATTGCACTTAAGAATGAACATTGAAAAATACTAAGTCATTAAAAAAAAAAGTTTATGCATAAATGGCCCCTGGATGTAATTTCAGTTTATTATTTGCTGGCTTATTGCTTGTCTAATTTGTTTTATGACTTTTTTTTCTCATACAATTTTTGATAGAATAATCAATGAAAAAATGCTTATGTATACAAAGTTTTGGTTAAATTCTTCCCTTTTTAATTGGATCAAACAGATTCAACTGACTCTGTACACTTACTTGTCTACTGAGTTCATTGGCACAGCTAATATATACAATGCAATTCGACGAGTTGGGACAGTTCTACTGGCAATGCATACTCTGAAATATTACTACTGGGTAGTGAATCCTCAGGATCGCAGTGGAATAATTCCAAAAGGTTTAGGTATGAGCAAATATTCCTTCTCTTTGTCAGTATGTCTAAGTAGTACTCTCTTTAGCAAATATATTTGTTTCTGTTTGACATCTAGAATCATAGAACACTACTTTTGAAATGTCAAATAGCTTGATATGGGCAGGATATGTGAAGCATGCGGTAAAATTATATTTTGTATAAATCTTGTTTTTTCTGTTAGATAAGAGAAATATCCATAACAAAAATGTAATGTAACTTGCATGTCACTTCTGCAGAAACTACAGGTGAATATATATTTGGACAAAAGTGGAAGGGTGTGCTCTGGCACAGTTTTCTGAGGTTAAGTGTTTGTCTCCATGTCAAGAAAATGAACACAAAAATATTACAATAATTTTGCAGTATATATGCCTCCCTTAAGACTGGTTATGAACACAGTATACTTCCCATACTTCTTTCCTAGATTTCTAATTTCTGATGGAAGGATCTCTGTGTAGTTAAGAAAAATCTGGCAATGCTCCAATTAATTTTAGTTAATTTTAATAAAAAATACTCAAATTTGAAATTATTGGTTTGCTTTTCATTAACATTTAAAAACTGAACTGAACAGAGAAGTAATATAAGTGTTTTAGGTTACCTAAGAATGTATACTGACTTTCTCAGTGTGTATGTATGTGTATGAATTTTTGATGATAAAAACAGGATATTTCTTGTAATTGGACCCAAATGATAGGAAGTTGTGGATTTTATGCTCTAAAAATATATTTTTATTTTTTAAATAAAGATGGACCTCGTCCTAATCAGAAGGAAATTCTTTCTCTACGAGCCTTTTTACTGATGTTTGTCAAGCAGTTAGTAATGAAGGTAAGATGGCTGAAATTCATGGTAGGGCTATGTCATTGTCACTTTCTTTGAAAGCTCTTCTGTATTGCACTTCGGTTGGTTAAATTTATAAATGAACCATACTGTACCTCAAAAAGGAAGAGGGGTGCAATTTCTTATTAGTGGAGCCCAAGTGTAACAAAGGAAGGGCATATCTGTGGTGGCATTTTAAAATTACCTCATCTCAGTGGTGCCTGCATTCATCTTTGTTCATAGATTTTAAAACTTTGCAAGTTACTTTTAAGAAGACCGAATATAATGATATACTAATGCCCTCCATGATGGAGTATCGAGTTGTGACACCAATCACTACTGAATTCAGATGGCTTCAGCTTATCAAATTCCCCAAAATAACTTGCATGTTTTGAGTTGATTTTCCTTCAGATTGATGAATATACTACACAAAAGATTATTAACCTTAGATTGCAGTTTATTTGGTGTTAACCAGTAAAATGGAAGTATAATGAATTGCACTAGTGTGTTGTGTTAAATAAAGGTAACATTAATTAAGCTTCTTGGTGACAGTTTTTTTCCATGTTATGAGCTAGGTTTATTTTGATTGGTAATATTGAGACCTGGAAATAACATAGAGAATATAACCTATAGAGTATATTGATAAATGCACATTTTAAGATGTAAAGTTAAGATATATTAAAATGTGCAGGTTATCAGATAAGTGTCTACAAGATCAGAGAGCACCCTCTGGGCTTGACTGAGAATAGAGCTATGCAGGTGCAGTGATGGCTGATGCAATTGACTAGCTGATGCAATCAGGTTAGAAGACTATCAGAAGTGATGATTTAACTATGCACAACCTGTTTATATTGTGCCCAACAATCTAATAGGAGGAGAGAATTGTTGATGCAAATGAGGTGGAAAAATTGGTAGACTGGACAGAAACTAGGGAAAGAATAAAAAGAGTAAAAGGAGGTAGCAATTAGACTGGTTCTGCTAGTCTCTAATGTATGAAGGGATGGAAGTCATGCAGATTTCAAATTGATAATGCTATTTCTGTCTTTTTAACTGACCAGATAGGCTGATAGCTATTGCTAGTAAACAATATTTAGGCTATGTTAAAGAGATACAGCTCTCAGTATGTTAAAAGGGACAAATGGCTAAAGCTGTATGGTTTAAAATGAGCATATAATTGCTAGCTTGTCATGTAATTCAATGTATGTCTTAATTGATACAATAGAGAATATGAAAGTACCTGATGATGCTGTACAATGTGTGCTATTCTGTATGCCACACACAGGAATGTAATATGAGTCAAGCTTCCAGTCACTGTCGTGCCTGTGTTTCTCCCTAAGGGGAATGTATACATACATTCCTGCATTTATATTATATTAAATACATTTGTATTACTGCTTTGAGTCCCCCTACTGTGAATAAATATTAAATATAGTAAGCCTAAACACTTACCAAAAAGTTTGTGCATTATGCCATACAAATGTCCAGCATTTCCAAGTCTTAAGAATGCTTAAGTGGAGTGTTGATGTTAGGTTTATTTGTGTGGCTTTAACCAGCATCAGAATTTAGATGTCTAAGCATCTGGACCAATGTTTCTCAACCTGTGGGTCCCCAGATGTTTTGGCTTTCATCTCCCAGAAATCCTAACAGCTGGCAAACTGGCTGGGATTTCTGGGAGTTGTAGGCCAAAACACCTGGGAACTCACAAGCTGAGAACCACTGATCTAGATGGTGAGAAAGGTGACTTCAGACAGAATCAGATTGGTTGACAAATGGCAAGTGAGAGAAGTTGGGAACCATACCTATTTTATGGAGGTGCAGACACATTCCTATACTAAGAATATGATTTGCACACAGGCACACAAGGAATCTTAGATTTGTATGGCTAGCCTTTTTATGAGGTGGTAGCATTTCTGTTCTGTGTATTTGCTGTGCTGAGTGCAAGTTGAACACCTTCTCTCCAAATCACATCAGAAAGATATCTTGACTCATTTTCAATTCAGGACCTTTTACAAACTTTTCACAGGTATTTGAGCCTTTCTCTTAAAAAATGTCATTGGTATTCTGTTGTCATTTTTTTTCTTAGACAAATAATTCTCTGTTCTCAGACATATAAGCCAGTTTACAGTAAAGTCAGGGTTCATTTATGAGAAAGCGCCTGTAGATTCAGACCCAAAGACATAATATATAAGGCTGCACAGAAATCATAGAAGATACATAGCAACAGTTCCTGATAGACGTGTACTTTTTGGATAAAAGCCTGGAAATGTTATGTGTTTATGAATCCTGTTTATTTCACAGTCACTTCATCTGTTTCAGAGTTTACCCTTTGTATCCATTATATGTTTGTGTGGAGAATGGCTTGTGTTGTACAGCTCTTTATCTTTCCAGGATCATGGAGTGAAAGAAGATGAACTCCAGGGTATCCTCAACTATCTCCTCACCATTCATGAGGTAATCTCAATTTAGCAGTTAAAAAAGCTCAAAGGAAGCTTTAAAATAAAATAAAATATCTCCTCCTGCCACAAGATGGCTCCGAAGTAAGAAAAACAAAGCACAATGCTCACCTATTCCTAGAAACTCCGGTAGAGAGTGATTAAAATACCCTGTTCAATAGTGCATCGAAGTTCACTAACATCTTGAGTTCTGATAGTTTCCTATTCAGTTCATTCATTTGTTACATGACTGGAGGTGGTAGGAAGGGAACAGATGGCAAAGCTGCATCTATAAACAATTGTTCTGTAGGGTTCACGTAATTTCCCTTTTATTTTGCCTTTTAAGTAAAGTAATGCTTTCTCAATGTGAATTTAAAAATAAAGATGTTAATGAACTCAAAGCTTGTAAACATAATTGGAAATAAATGTTGGTTACCATTGGGATATCTGCATCTTCATATTTTAGTACCAGGCAAACGCTTGCTGCCAGATGTAACATCAAAGAGTTGGGAAACTAGGACATAAATCTAGCCAAACGAATTTTCTTTCAGGGTGCTTTAAACGAGTAGAATAAAGAATTAATTAGATTTCTCTTCAAGAAATATAGATCCCACCTCAGAGCGTTCACCTATACCTTCTTGCTGAGAGACAGCCCTTGAAATGTGCCTGCTTCAGATACAGTAGGAAGCATTCTAAGCAGCATTGAAACACATTTTTTTAAAATTATGTTTTCAGTGTATCCTGTATAAAGCACAAACCACAACTGTGGTTCAAATCACATTTAGAAAAAAAAATCTTAAACAGGACCCCTTTGCAAAGAAAGGTTTATATCCTGAAAAAGCTTAACTTCAGATTGTTTCACTGATTGTCCACCAAGATGTTTTGCAGTAAGTGGTTTCAAGGTCAGGGTTACAGGCAGCAGCGGCAATCTTACACCCAGTTATTCATGGGTGACTCATTGACATATGTGGAATTTATAGAAACGGCTACAGATTTCTGGGTAAACTTTTTCAGACATCAAAACTCCTTTTCTCTTCCACTATTCATCAAATGTGGTGGGCCTTTAAGCTGGTATACGGTGGCTAGGATCCAAAGACCTACTTTAGGCATACCCGAGAGCTTTGTTTACTCCTAGTGATATATAAAGACTCTCAATACATATATAAAAAGCAACTTTTGTTCTTCAGCAGCAGATATTTGTGTCATAGTCTTGCTGTTGAAAGTCCCTTCAGTTTTAATAATGATTTTCTATTTGGCAAGGGTAGTGATGGGTTATGTTTGAAGGAGCCTAGGATTTCTTTAGGCAGATGCAACTTGGTAAATGGGTTTGTGTATGCATGTGGTTACAAACAGTTTAAAACAACAACTAGTAATACAGTCATTAAAAAAACATGTCTGCAAAAAAGTGCTATTAGCCATATTTGAGGTCTAGTGGTTTTTGCATTCATTTCATAAGTTTTTCTAGCGCATCCTTTTTGCATTTTTTCACATTAAGCTGGCATGACATTGGATGTTTGGGTGGTTCACTTCCTCAGATCACATTGTCTAGGTATTATTCCTCATTATGTTGAGCTTCATTCACATGAAAAAAAAATTATGCAAGTTCTGAAAGGTGCAGCTGCATTCCTGGAAATAATCCCTGGCACTTGGCTCATAGTGTGGATACTTATATAGCCATTTGCAAAGAAAAGCTAACATGTGAGCAGTTACTGTCTTGCCTCTAATGAATTGATATAGAGCACAATTAAATGAATTCTTTAGGATGCAATTAAAACCAAGATGGCTGACGGCCAGCTGAGGTGATAAAAGTTAGGTTGAATCTGAACCTTTCTAACTGGAAGTACTTTGTATGATTGTGGCCTAGCTTTGTTCAGATAAACATAGTGTATGTGTTTTCCTAGAATCATGGAAAAGCAGAATATAAATTACACGAATACAGTAACATCTTGATATTGAGAGCAGTTTGGCAATGAAATCAATTTCCTAGAGACGTGGTGGGGTCTCCTTTGCTGGATGTCCTTTGCTGGAGGCTGAATAGCTACTGCTGGGGATGCTTCTAGAGATCCTACATTGAACAGGGGGTCTGCCCGATGGACTGTAGGGCCCCTTCTAATTCTATGATGCATTAAATCAAAAAGTCATAAATTAAGTTCTATCATCCTCTGATCCTATGGCCCTTTTTGTCTGTTCTGCTGGCTGACGTCCTGAAAAGAGATTAGGATGTTGTAATGGTGAGTCTGCTAACAAACATGGCATCTGCCTATTCCAGGGACAATTTTGAGTTAGAATTACTCTGTCTGTTGCATGTAACCTAGAGTGACAGGGGAAAAATACAGAGATGAAGTAATGAAACTTAAAGCGCAACTTTAGAATGGGACATCAAATGATTATGACGATGATTCATTTGAAGGTGGGTTTTTCATTATATTTAACAGGATGACAATTTAATGGATGTCCTGCAACTGCTTGTTGCTCTCATGTCAGAGCACCCCAGTTCTATGATCCCGGCCTTTGATCAGAGGAATGGATTACGGTAAGAGTAATTTTTTGTTTATGGTAAGAGATATAATGTGGCAGAAGGAGTATGGTCACCTGTACTGCTGACGAATTTGTCAAATCCACTGCTGCAGAAGAGTTTCCTTCAGTTTCTCCTTTTGTGCATTAATTTTGTAGTCCCACTGTTGAAAATGTAGATTTATTTCAGTTGAATACTTAATCAATTTGAGGTAAGGCCTGTATGAAATGTTAAATCGATACCATGTTATACTTGTTTCAAACAAGGTTACCACATTTGTTGGCCTCGGTAGGCAGAGCTATCTGAGATGTATATTGTTGATAAAGCTTGAATATTTATTCTCCTGGGTCAGTGAGGACATATTATTTAACAACATTGCAGTGTATTAAATTCCGTTTCTGTGGAATTTTTAGATAGCTGTACATGGGCTTGTAACCTCTCCTTTAGCCATTAATGTGCTATAAACAAAGTTCCATCTCTTTAGTCATGTTTGAAAATCATTACACTAGGGTGGATTCTAATCTCTACATCCGCCATGTACATGAACTTGAAATTATTGAACACTCTGTTTTTCATCTGTTTTGATTTATGAGTACAGGAGGGTGGCTTAAATTCAAGTAATTCATTAGCATTAAATAATAATGAATGCACTTTCTTAGATCCCACACATTTCACTACCTGATGCCTTGGTTGCTTCCCATTTGGACTACTGCAATGCTCTCTATGGGGAGCTGTCTTTGAAGACAGTTTGGAAGCTGCAATTAGTTCAGAAATTGGCCACCAGGTTACTAACTGAAGCGTTGTACCATGAAAGGACGACTCCCAAGTTGTGGCAGCTCCACTGGCTGCTGATCTGCTTCCAGGATAAATACAAAGTGCTGGTTGTTACCTATAAAACCCTAAACAGTTCAGGCCCAGACTATTTCAAAAAATGTCTCTATGCATGCAAGCCAACATGAGCACTACAAACTGTGGAGGAGGCCCATCTTTTGGTCCCACCACCATCTCAAGTGCGGCTGGTGGGAATGAGAGAGGGGACCTTCTCCGTGATCACTCCCCTCCTCTCGAACTCCCTCCTGAAAGAACTGAAAACAGCCCCTTCCCTCTCCTCCTTTAAGAAGGTGTTAAAAACCTACTTGTGTATTCAAGCATGGGGGAGGGGGAGGATTAGCACTTTAATCAAATCCTGACTCAGCTCATGGAGACTTACCTTTGTCTATTGTTAACTGTATGATATGTTTTAAATATGTTAATTAAAATGTGTCCGAATTATTTTAGTTTGTTCATTTAAATTTCTTACCTGCTATTTTGAGTTGTTTTACTCAATATTTTGATGTTGTCTATTTGATTGTTTATTATTTGAAATGCTTTATTATGTTATGTTCTTTAGGCATTGAATGTTTGCCGATTTTTTGTTGTACACCACCCTGAGTCCCGCTTGGGAGATAGGGCGGTACAGAAAGAAAGTATTATTATTATTATTATTATTATTATTATTATTATTATTATTATTGTTATTTTATTGTTGTTGTTATTATTATTATTATTATTATTATTATTATTATTATTATTATTATCATTATTATTCTGTTTTGCAATTTGTTTGGGATCCACCTAAGCTTGTCCTGTTAAATGGGAATCCCCATTCACTAAACACCAAGCTGTTTTATTACTTTCATGTACATTATTAGAAGTGCATTTTGCCTTCAGCCAGAACTATATGTTCTTTTCTTCTCCCATTTGTACCTACTGCTATTCCTATTCCAGTTAGGTTTCAAAATGTCATCATTTAGTTTACAGCACCATGGGTGGCTATACTTTTGGGCATTTTTCTCATTTAAAATGGATTTAGGGCTGATGGCAGTAGACAAACATGCCGTCAAGGAACACAGTGATTGTTAGAACAGATTGGGAGCAGTAATTCATTTACTGTATAAAATGTATTCTCATTTCATATGTTTTTGTCACAACTTACGGTTAACCTTGGGTTGTATTGTATTACACGTTACACGTTTTTCAGTCTCCAGAGTCACCTGATCTTGTTCATAATTGCTTTTCCCCTCTCTTTTCTGCTACTTTTTTGGTTCTGGCTGTCGTGATCATTTGTATGGTAATGTGGCATGTAGGGAACCCTAATAAAAACACTCAGAGAAATGAATATCATATGAAATCCCTCATGCATTACTTCATTTTTATTTAAGTGGCAAAAGGCATACCCCCTCTTTATTACCTAGCACAGAGAAAGTGTGTATGTGCAAATAGTCTAGTGTGAGGTATCACTTATTTTCTGATGGTCGTTTAACTAATTTTAATAACTTCTCTAGGACAAACCTGTTTCTATATATTTTTAAATTGTTGCCTATTAAATTTATTTTAAATATATGTCAACATATATTTTTCTGTATTCAGTATATAAATCACATATATAAATCGTTTTTTTAAAAAAAATGTTTTGTAAACATTAATGACACTACAGACTATCTTTTATGTTGCTCTGCTGGAGAATGTACATGCCTTTATCCAGTTAGCCTTGGTTTTCTCAGATTGCCTGTGCAGTTTTTGAGATTAAAAGTAGCATTATCACATGCAGGTCTGGCTGATCAGTCTTGAAAGCAACTGTCATGAGAGCAGTCGCAATCTTTGCATCATTCTTAAAAGACTGCTGCGAAGACTGGCTTAGTTTACAACTGATGATGGTGAATATTTTATGGCTTCTGCCTGGTCTTTCTCAGCAGAGTGCAGGACACTTCTTAGTGTCTGTAAAGAAGCACAAAATCAAAGAAAAATGTGAAATATGTATGCCCATATCTAGATAAATTGCTCATCGGTATAGGATCAATGCAGTCTGTAAAAAGGTAGACTGCTATTTTTCCAAGTATTGTGGTTACTGTTTCTTGATGAAAGTTGATCTATTGATGGGAAGTGAATATATTGTTATGTATTCACTTTCCATCAACCTAGTGAATATATTATTCCAATTACTATACAGCATAATACCAATTAAGATATAATTACATTTTAATTAACGGAATAAGACAACTGTATCATATCATCTTACTTACTTACTTACTTAGATGATCTCTAGTTGTTTAAGTATGATAGCCTTCCAAGTGTATATGGTGGATATGTAGGTGATTCTGGAACTCTATTCTTGACCTGCCTGTTCTTCTGCAGCTAGGGCATCGGTTTCCAGGTGGAAGGCGGTCCTGATCAGGTTGGCTTGACATGCTTTCCTTTTGGCACACTTCTCCCTTTTGCCCTCTATTCAAGCCTCTTCAAATTCCACAGTACTGCTTGTCACAGCTGACCTCCAGCTAGAGCGCTCAAGGGCCAGGGTTTCCCAGTTCTTGGTGTGTATGGCACAGTTTTTAAAGTTAGCTTTAAGCCCATCTTTCAATTTCTTTTCCTGTCCACCAATATTCCATTTTCTGTTCTTGACTTGGGAGTATAGTAACTGCTTTGGGAGATAGTGACTGGCCATTTGGACAATGTGGCCAGTCCAGCAGAGTTGATGGCATAGGAGCATCACTTTAATGCTGGTAGTCTTTGCTTCTTCCAGGAGATTTGCAGGATTTCTCAGGGACAATACTAATGGAATTGTTCCAGGAGTTGAGTGTGATGTCTGTAGCCAGTCCACGTTCACAGCCGTACAGGGTTGGGAGGACAATAGCTTTATAAACAAGCACCCTGGTCTCCCTATGGATGTCCTGGTCCTCAAACACTCTCTGGAAAAATGCTGCACTTGCAGAGCTCAGGCAGTGTTGTATTTCATTGTCAGTGTTGACTTTTCTGGAGAGGTGGCTGCCAAGGTAGTGGAAATGAACTTTTGAGATGTAATGGTACTGCTTTTACCAACTTCCTAGTTCAGTGAGTAATTGCTTCATGGAATTTATTTAAATAATTTGATCTGAATATTGAGCGAGCTTATTCTAACTCTGTTTCTTCTTATTCAGTTTTTACATTGGGTACAGCATACTGCTAATCAGAACATGAGCAAGTATGTAGTCTGAAATTAAGACTGCTAATATTATGTATATGAAGTAGCCTCTGCAGTGGAACAGGATTATTCCTTACTTAATAAATCTTGTTGGGATGCAACAGGTCAGCAGAATGGAATCATAATGTCATACTACAGAGAAAAGCAATTGGATATACTTGTAATACCCACCTATTAACTGAGGGATTTTTCTTTGGGAATGCCACCTTGGTCCATGTGTTTTAGAACTCGAGTGGGCCTGTTGTAGAAAAAAAAGATTCATTTCTCACATCTTTACATACATGTGAAAAACTCCCTTTTGTATAACATGAAACATTGAAATGTTTCATGTTGGTGGGGTTGTATTTCCTTTTGGGAAGAAATAACAAACAGGAAAAAATGGTGTTGTAAAGCCCAAACTTAGCAAATCCATAATGTATTCTGTAATTACAATGATTAAGCTTGGACTTGCAATAGGATTCAGAAGCTATGATAAACTCAACTACAATTTTCAATGAATGCCTGTGCAAATGTGTCATTTAATCAAACACAAAACAGTATAAAAACGCAAGCAATATAGAACCAACTGGTTCCATCAGAACATTATCTGTGGCCCAGTTTAAATTTATCTTTGCTGTATTTGTATTTTTCAATTTCATTGTCTTTGGGTGATGGATATAAATTGAGGTTTTGCAGCTACTCAAAAACTCAAAGCCCTATTTTAAGGCCTGTATTTCTCACATGATCCCTAGTGCAAACGAGCAGGTTTGGGCCAAAATTAAGTAGAAGCTCATTGAGTGGAGGGAGTTAAATGTCAACACTGCCTCAGAAGGTTGGTAGTACCACTTCTATTTTCTTGCCCAGGCATTCAAAAAGGCATTTTGCTTTTTTGTTAACTCTTAACAAAAAAAAAAAAAAAAAAAAAGAACCATCCACTTATCTGACTAGTCTGGCAAGATGTGAACTTAGTGCACCTCAGGAAAATCTAAAAAAAAGAAGTAGAAACTGTTTTTGCAGTAGTCCTTTGAATGGAAATGCTGAATAGCTGCAACCATCACCACCATTTTCCTGTCCAAAGCACTCAAAAAAGGTTGGAAGCAGTGCCACGGTGGAGACAGAAGCTGGGGCCAATGTTTATTTTAGGTTTTTCAAGAACGGACCAATTTTTTATCTTTCAATACTCTCCTCAAAGAAGGGGATAATTTCCTTTTTTCTTGGATTTTAGGTACAGTTCTTAAACTAACTTATGGATAAGTTGGTCCGGGTTTTTGGGGTGGATTTTTAACTAAACTTTCTAGACTTTTACATGAGTATGTATAGTAAGTAGTTCCTTTTTTGTAATATTTGCCAACATTGGATATACAGTGTATATTTATTTATATGTTTACTATATTTATACCCCGCCCTTCTCACCCCAAAGGGATTCAAATTAAAGCAAAAATTCAGTGCTTCAGCATATATACAACAATAAACATACCATATCAAACTATAAAACAGTTAAAATATATAAATACAATAAAATAGTTTCAAAAAATACAAAGTGCCGAGTCATGATTTCCATACTTCTTGTTTTCCCATAGTCATTATTGAAACTTCTAGATTGAGGTTGAATTCTGCATTACCCTACTCCTCCAAACCAGGTCTTTAACTTTTTCCTAAAGACCAGGAGGGATGGGACCAGTCTGATGTCACTAGGGAGGGAGTTCCATAGCCAGGGGGTACCACTGAGAAAGCCCTGTTTCTCGTCCCCACCAGTCACACTTGCAAAAGGGGTGGGACCAAGAGCAGGTTCTCACCAGCCAATCTTAAAGCTCTAGTTTGCTCATAAAGGGAGATAAATTCGGACAGGTGAGTTGGACCAGAATCGTTTAGGGCTTTATAGGCCAAACTCAGCACTTTGAATTGAACCCAGTAGCTAACTGGCAGCCAGTGGAGCTGATGTAACATGGGGGTTGTATGCTCCCTGTACGCCGCTCCAGTAAGAAATCTGCTGTCTGTTGGATTACTTGACGCTTCCGGACAGTCTTCAGAGACAGCCCCACGTAGAGCACGTTACAGTAGTATAGTCAGCTAAATGTCTGCAGTGTTTCTTAATCATAGTGTTAAAAGTATGTATCTTAGCTTTTAATTCTGTACCCATTACTCTGGCCCAGCCCAGTTTTATTGTGTTTTGGTGTATTGTTTATTGCTTGTTGTTTTGTTGTTTAATATTGCTTTAATTGTTTTTAATTTGCTTTAGGTTTTGTATTGTTATGTTGTGTATTGAGGCCTTGGCCTTTGTAAGCTGCATCGAGTCCTTCGGGAGATGCTAGCGGAGTACAAATAAAGTAAATAATAATAATAATAATAATAATAATAATAATAATAATAATAATAGCTACTAACTTCCTAATGTTAAATATGTGATATAAGTTAATAATATAATATATACGTTATAATATATACATACATTTTTTAAAGTTGATACTTTTTTTAAAAAATCCCTTAAAATCTGAGTAGGGAACTGTTAATAGGAAGACAGAAAGCAAACAGGATGTAGACAGAATAATGCATGCACTTCTGCAATGTTAAATGGAAGATTGCTGTGTTAAGATTCTAATATGTATAGAATTAACCTTGTGTTTTTTGTGTAGTAATTTCAAGCATAGTGTGTGAATGAAATGAAAAGGATGTCAGATGACAGCATTCATTTCCCTCTCTCTTCTTAGAGCTGTCATATATGACTAGCAGGGGACACATGTCAAATATTACTGTTAGCATACATTTCTCCCTCACCAGAGACTGGGGCTTTTAAGAAATTTTAGTCCTGTCACTTGGAATGTTGAAATGCTAATAAATGTGTTTTCTTACACTATGAACTGGGTAAAGGAACAGCACTAGAAAGGAATTCATAACAATTATACTGCTCTCCTATACATTCTGTTCTCTATGAAATGATATCTTGGAAAGCTGTTCTTTCTTATTTCAGTGATATTCTATAATTATTTCCACCTTTTTAAAAATGTGTATCATTTCATTTTGTACAAAGGTCAATTCGTACAGTACGTGCTGTAACTCCCATTGATGACAGTTCGAGTTCAATTGAAAGTTATTAAGTTGTTCCATTGGTTTCTTTGGCCTAGTTCGTATGACATGCTAACTCAGGCAATTGCAAGACCCCTGGCTTATTAATTATGACACTGTACTGATTTGTTTTGTGTGTCATTCAAGCCCAGGGATAGGTGTCACACCTATTTGCTTCTTTCTCGAGAAATTAGAGAAGGGGAACATGCAGCTGAATTTTATGTATTATTTATTTACATGCTTGTGTATTTAGTTGGTTTTCTTTACCAATGATTGTGTAGCATCACTTCAGATTAGCTGTTGTATCAGAGCCTAGGTGTACTATTAACTTATCTACATTCTTATTTCGAATTCTTATTTCTTCTCTTATATAGTGTTATTTACAAACTCCTTGCATCGAAAAGTGAAGGGATCAGGGTACAAGCCCTAAAGGTGATGGGCTATTTCTTGAAGCATTTGGCACCCAAGTAAGTATGAAGTAGACTTCCATCAAACTAAGGTAAAGGTTTTCCCCCTGACATGAACCCCAGACGTGTCCAACTCTGGGGGTTGGTGCTCATCTCAGTTTCTAAGCCAAAGAGCTGACATTGTCTGTAGACACCTCCTAGGTCATGTGGCCGGCATGACTGCAAGGAGCGCCGTTACCTTCCTGCCAGAGTGGTACCTATTGATCTACTCACATTGGCATTTTTTCGAACTGCTAGGCTGGCAAAAGCTGTCACTAACAGTAGGTGCTCATGCCGCTCTCTGGATTTGAACCTGTGACCAGTCAACATGTTCAGCAGCTCAGTGCTTTAACCCACTGCGCCACAAAACTAGAGTCACAGAAAACCTAAGTTCTGAATCCCATGTGAATGTGGATGTTTTAAACCAATTCAAAACAGTGTACTTAAGAATCGAAAGTTTCAAGTACTTAGTAATAAAGCAATCTAAAATTAACATTAAAATAATAACGAATATTTAATATATATTAATGTAATACATCAAATTGATATTAAAATAATAAGTATTTTAAATGTTTACCTATTTGTCTCAATTATCAAATTTTGGTTCGATATTTGTAATGGGAATAGAGGATCTAAAATTGCAACTGTAACTATTTCATGACTAGTGTAAACACCTTTTGCAGATATTAGCTGTTGGGTGAGTTTTGAAAATTGTGTCTTGGTTTTGTAGTGTTTCAGTTTAATTCATTTGCATGCAGCCAGTTTGATTCCTTTTCATCCTTCTATTTGCATAAGCTGAGAAACAAGCCAGAAAGTCACAGTTAACCCTGGATTCATAATGGAAACCACAGTTAGGAGCTTCCAAATAAACCAGAACATGAAATTATAGTTTTAAATTTGGTTCTATAACTTGCTTGTTTGGAAGTCAGTCGACTATGAAGTCAGTTGCCTGTAGTTTGTGGGAAGCTGTGGATAATTCTTCATAGATCTATAGGAAATTGGAAGCAAAGCCAACATTTTACAATTTAGACAAATAGGTAAAGTGTTGTAATCAAGCCTTTGGAGATTAACTATAGCGCAATAACAGCTATGTAATATGTGAAATGTTGGTTGTAATGGTCCCGGATTACGATTGTACATGACATGATTTTAATAGTGAATGCAATGTTTTTATGTATTTTAATGTGCATTAATTTTAATTTTAAATTTTGACTTAAATATATTGTAACTGTATGCTGTTCAAAGACATTGAATAATTGCCTATATGTAAAGCTGCCTTATATCCCCTTCTGGGTAGAAAAAGGCGGGATATAAACAGGGTATATAAATGAAAGGCTTGTGTGTAGATGTATAAAACTCTTGAATGTCAGTTTACTAAACCTACAATTTGGTTGTATGACTAATGGCCATTTATAAATGTTAGATATTCAGGAGACAGACATACCAGTAGCCTTTAGATATCAGGGTCTGTTAATTATTCTTATATAGTGTTGATTTTCTTTAATCTACTATATAATTTTAGGAGGAAAGCTGAAATCATGCTTGGACATGGATTGTTCTCTCTGCTGGCTGAGAGGCTCACACTTCAGACAAGTTTAATTACCATGACAACATACAATGTCCTGTTTGAGGTACTAGGCTTTTTAATTATCTAGAAATTATTCTAAATTTGTTTCATGTTGTGCTATTATGTTTCAGCTGATTCATTTAGTTTAGATTTTTAACTGAATTTCAAATAATTGGTACCCTTAATTTATATATCGTCTACAAGGTTTCTGAATATTAGTGAAATAAGTGTGCTGAAATGGTTTTCATCTAGCAAAAAACAAACAAACAAAAAGAAACAAAAAAACCCCTTTTGTTACATAGTTATAAATCAGACTTAGTTTGGTCACAAAAAGCTTCCAGTTGTGAAAAAAGTGCCCATTTAATCCTATTCTGTCACTGAATGTGGGCCAATAATTGTTCCTACCATTACAAGAAGAGATCTTGAGTAGCCCTTACTTGTTCTCCAAATAAGCTTTAATTTTTTCCAGCTTTGCCATATATGTAAAATTCATCCAACTTCTTCCTCTTTTTAGTTCTTTTGGAGATATTCCATGGATTAGTCAACTAAGTATGGAGATAATTATTTTAGAGATCATAATTTAACAAAGATGGCTGAACTTTAGCCTTAAAAACAACCCTATAGCAGCTGTTAGAATAAAGTTTTGTTAAACAAATGTAACATTTTGCTCTTATATCTTGTCCTCAGATTCTTATTGAACAGATTTGCACTCAAGTGATACACAAGCAGCACCCTGATCCAGATTCCACAGTGAAAATACAAAATCCTCGTAAGCATTATGTTCTTTTAAGATAAACTATGAAGCAACTGTATGCAAACATCTGTACAAAAAGAAGAAACATCTTGGAAATAATGTTGACTCTTCTTTTTCTTTTGTTTATATTTTGAAGTTCATTTGGTCTGACAGTGTTCATTAATGCAAACTATGGGTGAAACCTCTATGGTAAACTCTCTTTGGTATACAAACAGCTGGAAAGAAGAATAATCTAGTCCTTGGTTGGAATCCATGATCTTGCTGTTGTTTCTCTCTCCATTCTCCCTATTCCTCTATCCCTTGTCAACACGGAGGCTTCCAGAACAGTCGTGTACATGTTTTAAACCAGGGATGTCAAACTCATTTTCATCAAGGGCCACATCATCCTTATGTTTGCTTTCAAAGAGCCGTTGAATCTGTGGATACAGAGGGCCGATTATAATTTTTTACATAGTGGTCAGTGCTTTTTAGTTTTTACCCAGTTTGGGTTCCCTAGATGCAATTGAATGACAACTCCCATCACTTTTGATGATCTGCAGTGTGAACTGGGGATAATGGGAATTGTAACCCAAAAGCACTTGTAGCTCTGAAGTTAGAGAAAGATTAGAGGACATTTTAATGTCAGACATCATATCTACAAGCCTTGTATATCAATTCAAACCCCACTAGCCTGACTAGACAGAACCAACCTCAGCCTTCCAGATGTTATTATATAACAACTTCCATCAACTTTACTCATGATGTCTATTTATGAGAAATACAAGAATTGTAGCCAAGCATCTGTAGGGCCACATAACATGACATGGTGGGCTGGATTATGCCTGTGGGCCTTGAGTTCGACACATGTACACTAAGGACTGAAGAGAGAAAGGGGAATAATTAATTCATCAATGGAAGCTGGATCCAAACTTTTCAGTTTTCATTTTATAATTCAGTGTGTCAATTATAAAAAGTTAAGATAAAAGCAAAATTAGTATTACATTTGACCATCCATATGTGTGTGTTTAATTTTTGGGTATTTTATTAAAATGTTCCCTCTAGGAATATCAGGGTCCTCCAGGGCAACTCTGTGTTCACTTCATAAACCAATATGCTCATATTTATTTGAGTATAATGTGCCATTGAATGTAATTGTCACCTCAGTTTTGAAGGTGCATATTACCAAAAAAGGATTTGCCCTCCAATGTAATATGCCCAGCAGCGTAGGCGTATTACATCAGGGAGGCAAGCAGCATTGATGAGGCCACTTGGGAAGCTATGCTCCACTGTCAGGCTGTGGCTGGGCACGATTTCCAACTGGCCTCTTTCACAAGCTCTTCAAAACTGATTTGGGGGGGGGGGAGTTGAAGGCCTCATGAGTGAGGCCATTTGAGAAACATGAGGAACTGAGCCTGGGAGATAGGGGCGGGTGAGAGACTCTGAGAACCACCTGGGAGACAGGATCCATGGCTAAGTGGCAACAATAATTAGGTCACTGGCTGGGTGCTCCTCCTCTGGGCGCCACAGGGTTCTGGGTTCCTCCAGGCCTTTTCACACAAGCGGGTTTATGTATGCCAGTGTTTCCCAACCTGTGGTCTGTGGACTACCAGTGGTCCGCAAAAACTAAAATATGATCCACGGTCTTACCATTACTACACCATTGCAACGAAAGCAACTGGTCTCACGAAACCAGTGCCAAGGCCTATTAAATATGGTTTTCTGTGGGTGAGCAGATGGCAACTACTGGATGGCATCTATTGCATCGCCCTGTATGCTGGCCTTCTGATGTCTACGACCCGAAAGCTCCGTATCGTTCAGAATGCGGCAGCCAGCCTACTCACAAGAACACCCATGAAATGCCATATAACACCAGTGTTGCGGCATTTGCATTGGCTTCCAACTGATTACCGTGGTCTATACAAGATGCTAGTTCTGATCTTTAAAATTATTTACGGCCAGGGTCCATTGTATCTTTGGGACCGTCTCTCATTCTCCCATCATCGGAGTTTGCAACGGCCATCCCAACATGACTTACTTTATATACCGGGTCCTAGAGAAGTGCACTTGGAAAGGACCAGACACAGAGCTTTTTCTATTTCTGCCCCTGCCTTGTGGAATTCCTTGCCGCCCTATATGAGAGCCATGAGAGCCCAGAGTTAGGGCCCTAGAACTGATGTGGTCTATCCAATATACTTTTCTGAATCAGCACCCCAAATAACCAAACCAAATCTAAAGTTGACCAAAAACTGATTTGTAACATTTTTGGTACTAATGTTGAAGAGTGTCCCTGGTCAAGTGTCCCTGGTCAAAAAAAGGTTGGGAACCACTGATGTATGCGATTATAACATGCCATTGAACCTAGCACATATCTAAATTTTGGCAATGACATTTAGCCAAAAAAGTTAAGCATTAGACTCGAGTAAATATGGTACGCTTTACAGCTGTACTCACAGAATACTGCACAAGCGAACTGCACAAACCCTTCTTTGTTTCTTATCTATCTTTCCATTGCTTCACTGAGTAGCCTTTGTTTAACTTGAAGACACTGGAGAGACTCTAATGTCTCCTTTTCAGATTATTAGATGTTTTATTTTATTTTTTCTACAGAGGTTCTGAAAGTTATTGCAACCTTGTTGCGTCACTCTCCACAGTGCCCAGAAACGATAGAAGTCCACCGAGTTTTCCTCTCTGATATGATTAAGCTTTTTAATAGCAGCAGAGACAATAGGCGGTAAGTAGGTAACATATATCTTTACATACAATATGCCTTACAAAACTCGAACATAATTGTTGATATGGGAAAGCCTTTCAAATGTGAAAATTCCACATGAACTTGACAAAAACATTTCTAGTCAGTCTATGCTAATTCATGCTGGTTTGTAACTTCAGTTGTCTCTAAGATGTGGCTTGCTTGCTTGTTTTCACCTTGAGCCTCGAGTCTGAAAGGCAAGATATAATAATAATTTTAATATGATGGCGATAATTTCTAGGACTGAAGTTGATATTGTCTTAATAATGTTGCAGGAGTTTACTACAGTGCTCCGTGTGGCAGGAATGGATGCTTTCCCTTTGCTACTTCAATCCCAAAACCTCTGATGAACTGAAGATAACAGAAATGGTGTATGCCATTTTTCGAATTTTACTTTATCATGCAATCAAATATGAATGGGGTGGCTGGCGTGTTTGGGTAGATACACTAGCCATTACACACTCAAAGGTAAGTGTGCCAAGACAGCCAAGTGTGTCAAGACAGATAATTGATTGTTAGTCAAACTTCCTTGAGTTTAAAAGTGCCTTGTGATCATTTGTAGCCCATGTGAAATAATGTATGAATTCTTTATAATTTCAAAATTGCAATTTGTGTTGAGCCATGAAAAAGTGATTGAGATTTTCTGAACGGTTACAAAAGAATGGAGGAAAATATGACTGTTTCTAAAAACAATAGTCGCAGGTTCAGTAGTACCTTTGTGTTTTGTGACACTGTTGTGCATTCTGTGGATTTTTGTGAATTTGGGACACAAGGTGGCGCACCTAGTCTATTTCTAGGCCAAAGTGATGCCCTTGCCGAAAACCAAGTGGCTGTGCAACAAATTCGTAAAGTATAATGAAGAAACTAGAGAGAAATCTGCTTTCCACTCAAACAAAGAGAAAAAAGAAGCTAAAAATTGTATTTTTTCCAGTTTAGGAATAAGCCAAGTTTGCTTCTAGTGCTGTAGTTTTCTGTGGCCACAAAAACATTGAGGGAAAGTGTTTTTATGGTAACCTTTCAGTTGAGAAGCAGATTTTGGAATGAAGTTGTATTTTGTTTCCTGCCTTCTTTCTTGTTCCCCTAAACATTTAAATATAATTCTGGGTGAGTTTCCAGATGGGGACATGGAACTTAAGAGAAAAGCAAGGTATGTTTTTTCCTAATTGACCAATGCATGAATTGTGAGCGGTCTGGTGTATAGACAGTATAGTTTAGATGTAGAAATCATTCTGTCAGCTGCATTGTTACATGGGGGCTAATGCTAGGTGAGACTACATAGCAACAGCAAAAGTAATTCAACAGGTTTACCTTTCTAAGATTGTTCTCATGCTTTAAGTGTGGCAAGATAACTGCTCTACAGTGAATCTAAAATCTAAAATAGCATCTAATTTCATATATTTGATTGTTATTCAAACTTCTGTGTAATCATTTGTATCCCATGTGAAATAATCTGTGTTACATTTGGATTCAGTTTTAATGTTCTAAATTGCAGAGTAACAGATGAAACATATCAAGATTATGCTTTTATCATGTGATGAAACCACAAAATCTAAATTATGCATGGTTTGCACTTACTGAATCCGATGTTTTGTTCTGAATGTTCCTTTATCAGCCAGTCTTTTTGGCTCTGTCAAATATACACATGTTTCTGAAACTGCATTTTAATGTAATTCGATTGAAATTAATTTTAATGTAATGAAACTGAATTTTAATACTGTTATTTTGAGTTGGGACTCATTTAGTGTTGACCCAAGTCTTGTTTAAGAAAGACTTGACATGAGCAGGCTTCATACAAGTTTGAAAAATATTCAAACAGATCGATGAACCCTGGATGATAAATCTTGGACCAGATTTTCTAGAGATAGTCTTGTTAATCATATAAATTGATGTGGAGTTTTAACAAGATAAAACCGACAAATTTCAGTTTTCTCACCCGGTTTAAGTAGTGGTTTGTTTGGATTTTTTTTAAAAAAACCAGAAGACAATTTTGAAGACCAACTATAAGTATATATTTTGTCAGCCTACATATTTTCTAGATATTGTTTGATGTCACTAAATGCTTTGATAATTATTGTTTCTCACTCTGGGTTCTTGATGTATTGTCATCCTAAAAGTTGAAGATTTCTGTTAAATATTTCATTGCTTTTGTTTAATATTTCATTACTAGACTGACATATTTTTCACTGCCATCATTTCTTTTGGGCTTTCTTCTAATATCCCCGAGAAAGCCTACTCTTGGTAGCCACAGAACCATTTATCTGAACCTGGGCCTGCCTTGCTTGTGTATAGAGAGGGCAGGTGGGGTGGATTTTAAGACCACAGAGAGGCTGCAGGTGTGGGGAGATGAGACATTCCCACATCCTGCAGTTTCTTGCCAGAATTTCTTCCCTTCACCCCCAACTAGGTTCTTGACACTGGAAATAAATTTAGCGAAAAGGAGAATTCCTCTTGGGAGATGTGATGGTGGGAAAGGGGCAGGAAAGGAAAGAAAAGCACAACAGGAGGAGATGTAACTTACTTCTTGAATATACTGTTGATGGTGTAGATTTGTTCTTCTGACATTGCATACAATTTAATTCTGTATCTAATATCACTGTTTTGCCCTTCTCCTTACTTCATGTGCAGACCCTGTATTCTTATAGTAACCCTTACATTTTAGATTTCTAGGAATAGCTTCAGATCAAGACATGTAAAGGGTGTTACACTTTGGGAAAGATAAGACAGGATCTGAGCATGTGTGTGATATGACCATTCTTCCTGTTAATACTCAAGTTCTTCCCATCCTTCTACTGTTACCTACTGTCCCTCCCATTTCTTTACCACTACAATTAAGCAGAGTGTGGTGTCTGATTCAAGTTTCTTGGTCCCATTCTAGTTTTGAATTGAAATTAAATTGCTTCCCCCACTTCCCCCATGTCGAATTGGAGCCCCCCCCCCCTTGGTGCTTCCCTTTCTTTTTTAAGCATTTCATAAGCTTTTGTTGCCTAAGGGATATGTGAGCCAAGTGGAACCTAAAATTGCTGTTCTGAAATATTATAAGTAAAGAAAATGAGAATTTAAGCTAGTTCAATTTAAATACCATATCACACAAAGATGGCTATGTTTTTGTGTGATATGTGAAGTTATTTTATGTGATGTGTTTAATAGTGTTTAATGTGTTTTTATCAACGGCACTGAGTTGTTGCCAATACTGTGAACCGCCCTATGTCCCCTTTGGGGTTGAAAAGGGTGGTATACAAATACTGCAAATAAATAAATAATCAATAATAATAAATAGTCAGTTCAGCCAGATTTCAAATTCATTCTATCCCAGTCTTCCCAGAATAAAATAGAATTCTCAATTGAATATCTTTATTGGAGGAATGAGAACAAATGGATATTCGATCGGCCCCCTCCCTCCTGACCTTTCGGTAAAGAGTAAAAACCTGGCTATTCGAGTCAGCTTTCCGAAACAGAGCGTAACCAGATAAACACAGTATGATGAAATAATGAACAGCTTAAACAGTGTAAATGGATAAGGAGTTGAACTGGAAGATATTGATTATTATAGTTTTAATTAGTTTTATATTATTAAGTAATATTAAATGTTTTTAATTGATATGTATGTATGTATGTATGTATGTATGTATGTATGTTCTGGCATCTAATTGTTGCCAATCTGTATGCCACCCTGAGTCACCTTTGGGCTGAAAAGAGCGGGATAAAAATGCTATAAATAAATAAGTAAACGTTGCTACTTTCCCTGTTTTTCCTCCATGAAAATACTTACGATTTCTTAGTTCAGATTCACACACTTCTGTAAGAATGTGAATTATTATTCTGAATTGAAATCCTCTCTTGCCTCATTTTCATGAAAGCAAGAAATAACATTTTTCTCCTTGCCGATGAGATGGTGAAATACCTTTTTTTGATCTCAGGAGAATTGGTGCATTTGCAAGAACAATTCTAATGCAAATGGTGCAAATTGCAAAGCTAAACTACAATAGCTGGTCCCTTGTTCTATGAATTAAAATAATAAACATCAGATCAGGGGGATTTTTGGTGTCTTTTTGATCATTTCTCTAGTTTGTGCTTGCTCCCTATGTTTGGGCTTAGCTTCACAAAGACAAAAGACGTGAGTTTTGTGCAGTCATTTTGAGCAGATTGTAGAAACCTCCATGAAAGAGTGTTCATACTCTTGCTCTTAGAGGCGAGAAAGCTTGCAGGGATTAATGAACCCTCAGCAGGCCTTTTGAAAGTGTTGAAACAACTTGTCTCGTGGAGAATGAATAATTTAGCAATATTTCTTTACATCTGTGCTTAATCGGAATAAGAACTGTATTAATATCCAAATAGAGAGGAACATGAAATTGCTGAGGCAATGTTTTGTTGCACCTTGTTGCAGGAAGAGATTTTTAAATGTGCTTTTATGTCTCTCGATCCCTAGCGCTGCCGACTGAATAGGATTATTTCTATTCCATTTGTATATATATATACTACTAATATTCCCACATTCTGATAAGGAGCAAGTTTGTAGAGCACTGGCACTGCAAAATTGGATCGGTTTTGTAGGGCTACACATCAAGATACATGCAGCTGCTATAAAAAGCCAAAGAAACTCAATTGCAATTTTATTGTCCAGTTTGATAGATTTCCTGCCACCTTTGTAGCAGGGAAGCTGTTTGTCACTGTAGCCCTCTTCTCCAACAGCTGCACTACGCTTTATAAGCAGTGATAGCTTTTGTGGCGTAATTGCACTACATTGGTTTCTTTTTCTTTCAGGAACTGAAGGTGTGCGTAATCCTCTTAAAGCTAAATTCCTTTGTGATGCCTTGATCCCCTCCTTAAAACAACACTCTTATCTTATTGCATAGCTTCCAGACTACTTGTACAAGACAAAAAAATGTGGTTTAATCTGAGTGTTTCAATAACCATGCTCTTTCTAAATGTTACAGTCAGGTTTTTCTAGTGTCTCCTATGTATTAGAACCATATTAGTTCTGAAGACTACTACAAATGCATTTAGAACATTGTCTAAGTGAATGGCTAATGCAAAACAAACAAAGGAAGCTGGTTGTAGTATGGCTTCAAGGCTTTTTAACATACTCTTAAAGTCGAAGTGTTCAGTTGTCTTTTTAACATTTATTTTTATGTTCTTTTTTTGAAGTGAGGAATGTTTTGAAAAATATTTAAAGTATATATTATCGCTATGCATTTTTTTATAATCTAAAGCTTATTTTCATTAAAGAGAAGCTGTTGAATTTTCTTTATACACACTTAAATTACGTACCGCAGTATGTTTGAAATACTACTACATTACTCATCCAATGTATTAATCTGCATACATGATACTTAAATTTTGCGTGCTGCCTTTTTAACACTAACTGTAAATAGGTGCTTAGCTTTCCATAAACTGAAAGAAGAAGCAAATTTGATTTTTTTTTCCTACTTAATATTAGGGAAAGATATAACATTCACTACGATTCCAGG